AATATGACAGTTCAAAGAACTATAGTGATGCAACAGTGTCCTATCTCTTTATAGCATTTCATGTCACTTAGTGTGACGGTGCAGAAGTACCAAGCACCTAACTATGATTGGTAGATATTTAACATGTTTTAACAACTGTGAACTGGTTTTTGTCAGCTATATGCTGTTAGTACTTGCTGTTTTGTTCCTTCCTGTGATATCTTAAAAGCAAGATATTTTCCATTAATTAGATCTCCTTTAACTATGGTTATTGATCAAAATAGATATTTGTCAGGCTGATCCAGGTTTCTAGATTAAAGCTCAGAAAAAGAATATGGGAATTGCTCATTTTACAACATTCTCATGTCTTGGTACAAAGAGGAGAACCGAGAGGAACAAATATTCATTAGGAAAATGAGTTCACTGATGAACAAATGGCATCAGCAAAATGTAAGGAAAAATGCCAATGCTAACATTAGTTACATGTCATTTAATCAAACCAAAACCTATAAACCTTTAGAAACCTTAACAAGGAAATTAACAGCAATAAATTAACTTCAGAAGTTAGGAACAACAAGTCTATTGGTGTTTTAGATTCTTTGGAAGTAGCCTCTTAAGCCCTAAATATATGTTATGTGGACCCTTTGAAAAACTGGACAAGGCATGAGTCCAAACTGGAGCCATCTCAAAGCAGGTACAAGAACAGCACAACTTTAAAATATATGATCATAAAACCACAGATTCTCATGCTAATATCTGGTAAAGATCAAAAAGTTGTAAATATTCAACTCATTTTGTGTATTAAAAGCTCATTTCATTAATTCAATTAAAACACATTATACAATATTGTTTTTATAAATGAGCTACCCCTTTTAAATGAGAGAACCCAATTAAAAATCTGCCCAGAAGAGAGAACTAAAAGGATGAGAGGAGACACCCAAAGACAATACATGTAACAAAACATAATTCTTAATTGTTTAATGTCGCTTGTGTTAATCCATTTACATTTAATTTGGTTTTTCATTAATAATCGCATTACTTATATAAATAAAAACATAGCACAAAAGAAATGAATGGAAAATACAAGTCAACAAATAAAAGGATGTACACTGATGAACAGGTCAAAGAGTAATACAAGATCTCCCTTATCCTATCAGGAACAGAAAGGACATATTAGTCTAATGGCTGATATAAGCATGGGGTCAATAGACATCAGTTTTTTGGGGGGCAAAAGCATAGATCTTTGTACTTGGGTATAGTTGGAATGCTCCAACATGTTGTACGTTTGTAACAAACTCAATGATCTCTATAAAATCATTTCAAAGGTTCTGTCAGAGAGGCTTATGCAGGTCTTACCCTCAGTGATCTCATCCTTCCAAGGTGCTTTTGTGGAAGGAAGGCAGATTGTGGATCAAATTTTAGTGGCTAATGAGCGTTAGAAAAGAGGAAGAGAGGAGAGAAAGATTTGATGGGTAAAGTGGATTTAGAGAAAGACTATGACCTAATGGACTGGAAAGTTCTTTTAGAAATACTAGAGAGGCTTGTTTCAAAGCAAAAAGGAGATCGCGGATTGAAGGTTGTGTTAGCTCAGTTCATTAGTCAATTCTTATCAATCATGTGGCAAAAGATTCTTCCCAGCCAAGCAAGTAATTAAGTAAGGAGACCCCTTATCGCCCTTCCTTTTCACCTTAGCACCAGAGGTCTTAAGCAGAATGGTGGTGAAAGCAGTTTTATAGGGCCTGATTAGGGGTTGGAGAATTGGTAGAAATCAAGTGGCTGTTTCCCATCCCCAATTTGCTGACAATACAATTTTGTTCTGTGAGGGTGTTAATCTATAAACGGTGAGAAACTAAAAGTTGTTGATTGACAACTTTATGGGTTTGTCCAGATTGAGGATTAATTGGAGTAAAAGTGGAATTGCAGGGATCAACTTGGAAGAAGGGGAACTTTTGAGGTTTGCTGAGTTATTGGGGTGTGAGGTTGGATACCAGCCTGTAATTTACTTAGGCTTGCCTTTGGGAGGGAACCCTAGGTCTGATGGGTTTTGGAAGCCAGTAGTAGAGAGGTTTGCTAGGAAACTAGCCCTGTGGAAAGTGGAAACACAATTACATTTTTTATCAGCTATATGACTAATTTTATTAAATTGAAATTAAATAAGATTAGTACAACTTGATTGGAAACGGAATTACATCACTGTAGGTGGAAGAATTACATTGAATAGAGTCACATTAGCAAATCTTCCCATTTATTTCCTCTCCCCACTTTCTGCATCCCAACTAGGATAGCAGGGCAACTAGAAAAATACATGAGGGACTTTCTTTGGGAACCGAGAGAGGAAAAAAAGGACCACATGGTAAATGGGAAGATTTGCTAATGTGACAGCCTCTCTGATGTTTATTTCCTCAGTGACATTTCTTACAATTACAACATCCTCTTCTGCTGTCAAATTGTTCTTCTCTTTACCCTTTGAAGACCCACCTGACTTTTCTTCCACCTCCTTAAAAGCTTCCCTTGCAAATTCCTCTCCCCCAAGAAAGAACAAACCCAGGGTTTTGCTTACCTCCACCTCTTTGTTAACCACTGTTTCCAAATCAATAGAACCTCCCACTTCATTTGAGTCCAGTATAGTCCGTTTATTTGCAATGGCATCCCATGTATTTAATACATGGCATGTAATAATGGGTACTCCATAGGTAATTCAGCCCAAGCATTTTGGTCAGTTAAATCTTGACTGGGTTTCCTCAGCTAATCTATACTACTTAATTATTCAAAATCTTTGCATGACTCCATAATTCCATATATTTGCTAGTTAAGTTGCTTAGCAAGCCTCCCTAAATGATCTAGGAATCTAACAGGTGGCAGAGTTTTGTTTTTTTTTGATGAATAGGTGGCAGAGTTGTTTAGGGCTCAAAATGTGTCCCCTGATTCCTGTCACTATCCTAAACCCATTGAAAAAGTTTTCAGCCCAAGAGACCTTACCACATGTTCTAGATAAGTTATAGTATTATGAGAAACTTCTACATTAAAAAATGAAAAGTTGGAAGGCTATTTTTAATAAACCAAAACTCTAAAGTTGGAATAGAGCTTATGTGGACTGCGGGGTTCAATACATATTCCTCTACATTGCTGAAGTAGGGCAGAAACATAGAGAAGCTCGTGTTTGTGTGTGCACACACACAACAAATTTACTATTTTATAAAAAATGTTGTATAACTTATTGCTACTTGCCTTACATCTATTTACATCCATATTACTGTGGAACTACGACTCCAAAAGATAGTACACTTTTTTCCTTATGATTTTGAAAATAACAAGAGATAACCTACACCTTGTTTTAAATAAGAAAGCCTAATCCCAAAAAATTAAAAAAAAAAAGGAATCAGTGTAACATAAAATAAAACTAAGAAAAAGAAATAGAAAACATGTGCTTTTTCATAGAAAATCACAGTATTTTCTTTTATTGGAAACAGTAACTTTCATTAAAAATAGCAGTTAAACACATACAATGTCGACCACTCAGAGCATGAGTGTTGACCCCAAATATATCTCAAAGCATACAATACAGCCCAAGAAAATCACAGTATGATTGCAATAACTATCCCTTATTAAGAAATAAAGTATTCATGTAACTCAATCAAGTATAGCTTAAATATGTATAACTCAAAACTTAAAAAATAAAAATAAAATGAGTATATTGTTAAAAAACGCACATAAATGGAATGTGACTCTTTATGGAGAGGCAGCACCTGGCGCCTCTCTAAGGGGATTCTCATGTAACCGATCTTTGAATTAATGGAATATGGCTCTTTACTTATCAAAAAAAATGCACATAAATAATCCTAAAATTACATGATAAATTGTGTACATCATTTCTGCAATCACCATTCAGACCATCTATACAACCTTGGCTACTGCTATGTAAAGGTAATGTTACGATTTTTTTTTCTTGATCAGCAAGATAATGTTAAGAATACTAATGCAACTAAATCTATTAGCCATGAATTTAGGTTCTCTGTATCGTTCCTGAAGTTAATGTAATTCATATCTGGAGGACAAATGCAAAACAGACAGCAAATAAACTCCCTATCATAGGGTGAATATGAAACAAATATTGAAATTTTATGCGTTCTAGAAAAAGCTGGTATGTTAGAAAAGAAAAAAAAAAGGAGCAAAGAAGCATAGTAGTTATCATTGATGCTACTGTAGAATTTGAAAATTATTGATAAACCAGTTACCTCAATTGAATGCATCACTTTTCACTTAAATCATTCTAACTGACTTTTCTCTTCTTGCATTTGGCATCTAGAAATGTGTGACTTTACACCAATTACAATATTTTTCCAAATAAAGTCTAACGTACAGGTACCAGCTACCTCATGTACTGCAATCTTTCATCTTTTCATTAAATTAACCAACAGGTATCAAGATCCTACAAAATCATTAATCAACTAAAAAGGTGGATGAAGCGATAATATCGATTGGGGGATATGAAGTGGCTTTTCAAGACAAGTATCATACTCAAACTGATCTTAAAGAAGATTCTGGATGTCACAAAAATAGGCATTATAAATAAGAATTATTGCCAATCTGCAGATGAAACAGCTGAATTCTGAAGTTGAATAAGCTAGTGGAGATTAAGGCATTTTCATAGATTCCTCTAGAAATAACTATGAATGAAAAGGAGAGCAGTCTGTAAACAATGAAATGAAGGAAAATCTAGAGAAACATTCAAAGACAGAAATAGGACTCTCAGACATTGAAGACATGATGCCAGTGAAAACTCAAAGAGAATTGTGGGAGCATAAAATATTCATACTTAAATTGTGTTGTGAAAATGTTAATGTTTTAATCTGATTACACCATACCGAAACCATCAAGTGGTGACATACAGATAAAGTGATAAGCAGAGTAATTTATAATAGAAGCATGTTATTTGATTAAAATGATAAGTAACTTGAAGAACCATCCAATAATTAAGAGAAAAGAAGATATCTCCATGAAGAGAGGATCAAGAATCTTACGGGGCCATCCAACGATATGTTCCCGTCTCTGGTGTCATTCCCTCTGTCTGAACCTCAATCCTTGCTACTCCAAAATCTGCAATCTTGATTGATTTGTCTGAAGAAATCAAGAGGTTGTCTGACTTTAAATCCCTGTGAATGAAACCAAGCCCATGTACATATGCCATCCCCCTAGCAACATCCAAAGCCTGCTTGACTGCCAATTTCAAAGGTACCGACCGATTATGCCGTCTCATCAAGAATTGTCGAACTGACCCACCCTTTGCATACTCTGTCACAATGCACCAAACCATCGGCTTACGGCAAGCTCCAATAAAACGTACTATGTTCGGGTGCTTCAGTGTAGCCAGCATCATGACTTCCTGCTGGAACTGTTGCTCCATCAACTGTGCCCTCTCTGCATTGTTCTCCGGTCTTTCCAATATTTTGATAGCAACATCCTCACCATTGTAAGTCCCTTTATAGAGCTTCCCAAAAGCTCCCTGTGCAAAAGCAGTCCCCATGTTAAGCTTCCTCAAATCGATTGTCCATTCATCATAGTTTTGTAGCCCTTCCGTGGGGAATCTGGTATCCATTAGGGCCTGGGCAAGGGCATCATCGCTCAGGGCATGTGAGACTCTTCCTGGACGAACACTGTAGCCTACAGAATTGTTGTCCATCTTCATTGGACGCAGCCCAGGGTGGCCCAAGATATGAGTGTGGGAGTCATTTGACCCAACACTACTGTTATCCACAGACATCGAAACCGAACCCCCAGCATTGCTGGTCTGCATGCTTCCAACACTGTCAATCGACATGTTGGAGCCTTCCCCAATTTTATGGTAGAACCCTGATGTGAAATCATAGTAATTGTGTTCATTGTTGTCGTCCCCTATAATCCCAGCAAATTTCGGACCCTCCACCATCTTCTCAACCAAATATAATAATCTCCTTCAAGTCCTCTTATTTCTTCAGCATCTGGTTTACGAAGCTCAAAGCCCTTCAAAAGAAAACCCTAGCATGCAACAATTTTTGATCTTGAGTTCTTTCTTAAGTTACATGCTGCAGTTTCCTCAGCATCGGTTCCTCCGAACAGAACTTCCACAAAAGCCCTAAAAATCAGTCATACAAAAATCCTTAGGAATAAAATTCTAAATTTCTATCTCCTTCTAGTCCAAAGGCTTTTCCTAGCATCAGGCATCATACCTTTATCAACCCGGGTTTACCAAGCCAGCAAAACCGAAAAACATGAACCGAAACCAACCGATGAAAAACTTGGAAAAAAGACAACAATAACAAAATCACTTGATAAGAACTAATCAAACGAACCAAAATCCTATTTTTTCCCAGTCGCACCAGAACAATAAACAAAGACGTCCCCGCTACATCTACATCAAATTCTATCAAACTGAAGCAGGAGAAAAAACAGAAACAAAAAACCCACCAAAACCCAAAAACCAAAATCCACGAAACCACAGTCAAGAACCCTAAAAACAAGCAAATTCACTGATCAAGACCTTCAATTCACCTACTATACTAATACATACCTCGATCAATAGGATTCTCCTCTATTGCTCTCCCAATTCGAGCTCCATGTACGATTCTGGGGGACGAACGAGGAGATCCGAGCTTTAAACACGAGAGAAATGACGTTTACGAGGAACGATTACCACCTGTTAAAGACGGAGACGACCAGTAGAAGAAGATGAGTAAGTCATCGTTACACATTTCCTTTTTAGCCTTGTTTTTTGATTTATTGGTTTATATATTTTTTCATTTTTTAATTTTATTCGTTATTAATTTTCTTTTTTTGTTATTATTTTATAATTTTATTTTCACCCTTGGACCAGATCCCATTTTTCTAAGCTACTACGATTAGTCTTCACGCACGCGATAAATTGGAATTTATCTCGATATATCGGGAACGATTCCAAGTTTTCGGATATATCGCCATGGAGATTCGACGTATCGGGGGATGTTAGAAACACGTAGTACTGTCCGAAGAATTTTTTAGTTGACCAGAATGTCCCTGTTTAATATATAAAATGACGCTTGTGCAACCACGAGATTCGTCATCGATTTTACCTTGAAGAGTTTTGGCTTTTTAGGTCAGTTCCGGAAACTTCGTGGGCGTTACGGGTTGTTAATTTGGAAATGGAATATGATCGTGGAGGGAAATGACCGTTATGTCCTCGTATGTATTTAATGCACACGATAAGACGAAGTTAAAAGGATTAATTTTTCTGAAAGATAAGTTAAAAGGATTAATTGAGCCCATGTAAGCAAGGCGGACCCAACGAGCGATGGGGCCCATTAACTTTCAGCAAACGTCTGCCACGTGTATTAATCATGAGCTGGCTTGTCACGTGCAAATGACTGGTTTAACCGCTTACCATCTTGAGTCCTGGTTTTGGGTCGAAAGCTGAGCTGGCCTTGGGAAGCTTGGCTGGCACAAGGTTGGGGACAAGCCCGTAATTGGATCTCATTGGAATAAACATTTGAGACACTTTTTTATTAATAATTAGTAAACGTTTACATGTATTGCATGTAACAATTTTAAATAACAATAATAATTTTATTAATTTTATAAGAATTCATGTAACAAAGATAAGTAATTAAAGCATGATCAATTTGATTGATTTAAATTTTAGGTTATACTCATAAGAAACCTTGCAATACAGGGGCTTTATTTATAAGCAAAATTGATGTCGAAGCTTCATGACACATTTTCAATTAAGGGTTCATTTAAGTCCAATTCAAGTATTATATTTTTGGGTTATGTCTTATTTATATAATCGTAATTTAAGTTGTGCTTTAGTAACAATGACCAATTTCATATGCTTTAGATAAATTTGTATTCTTTTTTATATCTTAATGTAGATTTTTTATTAATTTTTATTGGTTTGTTATTATTTTCGTATTGTTTTAAGGTAAAATTATAAAATACCTCCTCTTATACCTATAAACCACCTTTGTGGTTTGACCCTAATAAAGGCCTCCTTTATAGTTTTGAAAAATAAAAGTGCAAATACCTTATTTTCCTTGGCTTTTTAGTAAAACAGGACATTAAAGTTATCAAAATACCCTTATCATTGTTAAGGCATTATCGTACAAAATTTAATGTTTCAACTTAACCCACCATTAGTTTATTTTTTCAACAACTTTCAAAGAGTAATTCTCCCTACTCTTCTTGGATGAAGTAAGGTAAAAGGCCAAAGTGAAATAAAAGGAAGCAAATATTTTTTTTTCAATGTCTTTTAGTAAATTTACATGTGAACAAAGTTAGATAAGGGTAAATTTGGTATTTAAAAACAATGCATTGCATCAACATTTTTATTAGAATGCTACAATAAGGGAGGTTTTGTTAAGGTCAAAACATAGGGAAGTTTCATAGGATTGTTAGAAAACCCAAGGAGGTTTTTATAGTTTTCCCTATTTTAAATGAAACTTAAATTATTTTTTTTAAATGTAAGGTAATTTTAAAATTAACAGGTAATCTTATTGTCTGTTTTGTTTTTTATTAATGAAATTACCTTACCTTTTCAAAAAAAATTTTAAATTGATATTAAATTAATTAAACTATATTTAAAATTAATAACTTTTATTTTTATTAATCCTTATTATAACTATATTGAGTTTTTATTTTTTAGTGGAACTTAAGTTGGTTTTAAATTAGAAAAAATTAATTATAAAAATAATAATTATTAGATAGTTTGTACTAGTTCTATATTAATTTTAAATTGATATCAATTTTTAATTTATCTTATTTATTTTTATTTATTAAAATATTTTTATTATATTAATAAAATTCTTTTTATCAATAACAATAATTAATAATTATTCTTAATTTATTTAAGTAACTCACTAAATTATTTTTACTAGGATTAATTATTTTTATTATTAATTTCTATGATGTTTTATTCAATGTTTTCAACTTATCATTGACGTAGATTGTTAAACCATTAAAACCATCACTTGACCCTATTTCTAATTATGGGTTTCCTAAAACCTACCATGTTCAACATGTGTGGTTGAACCATTGGCCCTTTTGACCTAGTTATTAGGTCACATGCTACAATATATAATGTATTGAAAACTTTTGGAGGATTTAACTTTGCGCTTGGCTGTTTGGTTAGGGATGATCTTTTCTTATTTTGGATAACTTTGTGCAATCTTTGCAGCCTCACTATACAAAAAAAAAAAAATCAATTTGTTGGCCTCAAATTTCAATTTTTAGCTCTTGTACTTATAAAAAATAAAAAACAAGTAGACATTCTATTCTACATATATAAATGAATGACATGTCACAGTTTGACTCATCCAACCCAGACAATTTAGTCTTTGATCTGTGGCCTAGAGTAAAAACTATTCAACCTCCAAGTTAGTTTTAAAAAACCTCCAAGATTAATTAATTTAAAATTAAGTATTTTTTAAATGCAAATAGATTATTTAGCCTAATAATATATCATTGAATATCTCCATTTCAATATAATTAATCTTTATTAATAATTACAATTTAATGTAAATATATCTAATGTATATATAATTATAGTTAAATTGAAATGGATATTGATGAAGGGTAATTTGGTCCTCTAGTGATGTTGTGTCACATAGCACTTTCAAACTGTTGCATAACACCTCGATGCCATGTAGGCAGTGATGCATCCTTAACAAGTTAGTAAGACTCACATAAGATTCATGTACACACTTCGGCTGAAGTATACCAGGGACTTTGGCAGGAGGGCCAACCTCCCGTTAAGCATTCATCGACTTAACCAAGGTTTGAGGTAGCAACCTATGTGACATGGAAAATGACGATCGACTTTCGCTACGTGCTACTTATCATCTCCAGTTCCTTCGGGATCACGCCCGACCAATAGAACTAACTTCCATGTTGCCCGCTTCATAAATAATCAGATAAGCCTTATCACTATCCGCTGAAACCACCTCCAAGGGAGACATGCCGGTAAGCCATGTCCTCCCGGAGATCTCATATGCGCTACGTGAGACCCATGCCTATATAAAGGCACCTCCTTCAACCATATAAGATACACACGATTGTGCACTCAAGACGCCCTTGCATCCTAGCTTTCTTGCTTTCTTTACTCTCATCATTGACTTAAGCATCAAAGTGCCCACCCCAGGTACTCTGACTGTTCTCTTGCAGCTCGACTAACCAACCTCGCCAACCTAACACCAAAGTTGTCCTCCAATAGGGAGCTACCAGATCGTACACCATCAATTGGCACCGTCTGTAGGAATCGGTATGAAAAGCCAAGTTTTCACCATCTTTTTGCTCAAATAAGTTTAATGGCTTCAACAAGTAATAACAACAACATCAACAATGTCCAGATTGACAACACTTCAGCTAGGGGGCAGAATCTACTTGCTCATAATGCATTGAACCACATCGATTTTGCATTGAATCGGACCAAATTTGAAAACCAAATTGAAAGGAGATTATACCTGATACGAAGACCACAAATTACAGCTCTCAAGGTGGTAGTTCATGCCCAATATCAGTCCCAAAATTGTCCTCCAACTGAAGATGGTGCAATGTATAGTAGAAAATGATTCAACAACTCTGATTTTAACAAATCTGCTATCCAATTAACTTGGATAGAGTGGGATGAGTGAGTATGAGTTTCTTTAATGTTTTTCTTGCAAAAACATAAAAGAAAACTGATAGAAATCAATTCTTGAAAAGTCTAGGTCATGATTAGGGTTTCTTGAGAGACAAGAGAGAAGAATAGAGAGAAAGAATGCAAGAATTCAAGACTGGTTTGCCCTCTTCACTTTATCTTTTTATGGAGCAAAACTCCTAATCTAATTAGGAAATGATCTAAATCTGATTTGGGTCATAATCTTTATTCTTGAAAAACATTATCCTCTTGAAATGATAGATTCTCCATACCCAGATCCAAACCCAGTTATGACCTAAATCACATAACAACTTAAATTATCATGCGACAACTTAACCAATCATATTAGTAATGGGCCTTTAGCCCATTTTCTTCAAAGGCTCATGTCCCTAGGTGTTGCATGGCCACTTTGGGTCTGATATTGTAAATTGTGGGACCCAATAAAGGTCTCACACAAGTCCATTAGGGTTCGGCCCCACCTTTGAAAGTGATTAGGCTAAATTCACTACTCTGGGTAGTGAACCCCAGAGCCAATTAGTATGGGCTCAGTCTAGGCCCAACATTTACACCTAAATGATGATTGGATTCAGCCACCCTATGAAGACTCAAGGATAATGGACTTATGTGAGATAAAACCCATCAAGTAATTGGCCCTATACTAGTCTCTTACACTTGACCTTTCAGCCCATAATCATCAGAACACTACCCGATAGAGAAGGACCTCTCCCCTAGCTGCAAGGTGCAGTGTGTAGTGTTACACTCTCTACTTGGATAGATCCCAGGGTTAAAACCTCTTGCAGGCCTTTTTCATAAAATTAATATATATATTGCAAAACTACTGTTGATTATATTGCAAAACTAGATTTCCTCAAACACAAGTGAAAATTACTGTTGATTATATTAGAGAGAGTATATACCTTGATATTCACTTTGTCCGACAAAGGGGTTAATCCTATCACAATGATCACCCACTCAAGTAATTTCCCAACATGTCCAAATATTTGACCCTTAATGGATCTCATTAGTTGGCATATCAAAGGCAGCCCAGTCTAGTATCATAATCACCACGTTTGGGGTTATATGCAACTTTTCAGTTTTGCC